CCCCAAAACCCCAAAACCCCAAAACCCCAAAACCCCTAGGAATAAATATAATTGAAAATGATTTAAAATCTAATGGGTCTAATACAACTGCGAAGGAAATACTCTACTATTGGGTTGTCTATCAGCCCTCTTGAAAGGTATCTTTGGGAACTCAGACACCAGCCGATCCAGATCTGAATGTTTAGGAATGAAAGCGTACTTAGAGAGTTTTTTCCTTTTATCTTCTTTAGTTTTCTAAAGTTTCCGTTCTTGGACCTGTTATCTGTGAACTTCTTGTAGTCTCATAAATCTTGTGGGTGAACCACCTTGCTGGTTACTGTGTATGAGTTTAAGGAGGAACTGAAGCCTAGAAGAATTATGTAAGAAGTTTACTGTTATTTTACAGTCAGCTTTCTATGTCTCTTGTTCCCTCTTGTGTAAATTGCTCTCACACTACAGTTTAAAAACTGGGCTTACCTATTCTGTTTAGATTTTCAAGATCTCTTGACCATATAGGAGCTCTTTCTCCCAGAATCTTTCGTATAATTAGAGATGAAGAAAGGGTAACCATCCTGATCTGACATAGTTTTCATATTAGTAGGGTGAGATACTTTATGATTGAGTCCATAACTGTCTCTTCTTTTACAGTTCCTTCTGTCATAACTCACCCTATTCTGAACCATCTGCATTTGATAATTCTCTTTGATCTTCTGAAGGAGTTTGCTTTTTCCTTTGTTCCTATAGTAAGGTATGGCATTAATAATTACCTTTTGTTTCTTTCATTCGATCTTCTCTGCTGAGCCTCTCTCGGGTTCTCCATCAGATCACTGAATCTCATTAATTTTTGACAATTTTTAGAAATGTCAAGTTCAATTTTTATTTCACTGTCTTTTCTCTTGGGCGGGCTGGCCTAGGGAATGAGTGATTATTAACTAACATCTTGGCTCTTCTTTGGAGAAGAAGCTGATTTTGGCCTCCGTTCAGAGCTTTTATCGTAAAAGTTCAATAATTTTCGGTAATATTTAGTTTTGGTTTTGATGGGACTGCATTCTGACTCGTCATCACTCTGAGGTTTCAGTAGTTTCATTACTCTTTTCTGGTGGATTATCCTTTCTAGCTCTAATTTCATGGCTGTTTGTTCCTACAATTGAAGGTTAATTTTAACCACATGAATATGTTTTTACAGGTGGTGAGTGAAATCTTCCAGGTATCTGCTTTTCACGGAAGATATTCCCTGCAATTTTCTTCCATTTCTCACTATTGGTCTTAATAGAGTTGAATTTCCTTGTGTTCTTGGTATTTGAGTTATACTTTCTGAAGGATTTATTTCTTCTGGTTTTTGAACTCGCTGCTGACTCTCCATTCGGAGAGGCCGTTTACTTCAAGTGATTGGAATCTAGAACAGTTGTTTGAGGAGAGTCTGGGAGCATTGATAACATACTTTTGAGAATAGATTGCTCACCTTTTACGGTTATTTTAGATTTTTTGAATCGCTCTTTGAGAAGGATTTTTCTTTAAATTTCTGACCAAAATCTCTAAAATGTAGGTTTAGTTATGATTTTATGAGAAAGGAATGTTTTGGAGAGGTTGGATCTAGTTAAAATATTTCAACCTTAAATTCACTGTTACTATGAATAGAGTATCATTTTAGGTAATGAAATATGAATGTAAAATAATTTATCAGTATCTCTTGATTTTCTTCATATAAAAGAATTAATTGATATAATTAAAAAATTTCTTAACTTCAATGAACAAAAATTTTATCTGAAAATTAAGATTATAGACTATAAAACTGTGAGAAATGCATTAAATATGTGCTCAAGCAATTAAGATAGGCTAGTTGGAAGTGACTAGATTTTTCAACTTTTATTTTTAATCTCCATTTTACTTTGAGATTAAAATCTCTTCAAATTTCAACTAAGAAACTGATGAAAATATGAATTTTATGAGTCCAGGATCATTAAAGAGCAAGTCATACTAGGTCAGATTAAGAAAAGGGTAACCCGAGCTTACTTAATAATAGAACTTTTACTAAGCTCATTTGTGAATCAATCAACTTCGTAATTGAAATCATCCTTCTCACTCCATGCATTCAGTTGGCTCACAGCATTTTGTTCAGCATCAATAGTATTTTCGTCATTTGCTATAAATAGTACAAAAAGTTACCCTCGGGACTGAATATGGGTGAAGATCGATCATGCAGAACCATCTGAGTCGAATAATCATTTTCATACTACACAATTGGTTATTAGTAAATAGTTTGTATAGTAGTTGCTCCAATGCTTGCAAAACAACAATTATTTGATTTAAAATGATTTTATCTCCAAAATATTACTCAGAAACCGAACTCCGATTAAAGCTATTCTTTCTGGGAAAATGATAAAATTCCAAATCCAATGCCTCTTATTTTAGAAGCTTGAAATGAAATAAATCATTCCTTTGAAATGCTTATTGCTACTCCCAGTTAAATAACCTAATCATAAAGGCTAAAATCCTAATAATCCGATACAAGGAACGCATAAAGTCCTTTGTTGCATTCTTTTATTATTTTTGCGATGTAAAGGCATGCAATTTCTACTTGATCAACAAATATTAGCCGACAAAAACTACCATGCTGAAAGTGCTTACATCGTTCATAATTATTTTATTATTATTTGTTCAAACTCACACAAGCTGTGTGGGGTTTTGGGGTTTTGGGGTTTTGGGGTTTTGGGG